TCAGGTAGAACATTTAAAGATTATGGAAGCAAAATAAAACTAAATCACTGTCTCCTGTGTAGTGGCCAATGTTGGGCAAGTTACTTTGAAAAAGTAATTAATTATAGTTACTAGTTACTTATTCAAAAAAGTAACTGAGTTAGTAACTGAGTTACAAGACTCTAAAAGTAATTAATTACTTGAAAAGTAACTATTTTAAAAAAACGTTTAACCCTCTGGGGTCCAGGGTATTATTGGCCATTTTTCACTACTTTTGATTTTCCCTCTACATTTTACTGTTAAAAACTATTTACTTTGCCTTGTTTGGTATCATTCTTTTCAGCACAACCTCACGTGTCTGAATTTATAGTTATGTTTTCATTTTGACATGCTGTATTAACACAATTGATCTAAAATCAGACAAAAAGTAGAAAAGTAGAGTAGAAAATGTTATATTTTATACTGTAACAACCACAAACATGTTTACTGAATTATATTTCATAACTTTAAATGCAAATATAAATTGCCAATTTTAAAATCATATGCACAAGTTTTGCAAACAAAGTTATTTGCAGCCATTTACCTTTTACCCTTTTTTAAATAATTATTTCAAACTATTTACAGAACAATCAGGTGTTCTGCATTCAATAAGATGCCACACAAATTATTTGTGCCACTCCAAAAAAAAAAAATTCTGTCCACTATAAAGGAGAACATCACAGCCTGACACCTGCAGACAGCAGTCGCCTCATTGTTCTGACACACAATACAAAACTATCCACAACACTACACACTAACTACACAAGACAACACATTAACTACATACTCCAAACATGCTAAACGTCACAAATCTCTCACTTTTCAAAACTCGCTCTCTCTCTCTCTTTCTGCTCTCTCTCACTCTCTCTCTTGCCGTCACTCCTAAAACTTCCCCCTCTTCCTAAACAACCAAATGTCATGTTGCCATATTATTTTTTGATTGGTTGACACGGTGCATTTTTCCACCAACGCGAAAGGGCTGGGGAGGGGGGTTTGGTCATAAGCAGAGAGTGCTTGCTAGCGCTGTCCTTAGACAGTAAACGTGATGAAACTATTGAGGAAAAACACCGTGTCTATATTATTTACCATGACTCTGGTTTTACGTGGCCTATCAACACAATTTAAAAACTGGTATATATCACCTTGTTGCTTTGTCATCTTGAAGTGGTCATGTGATTGGCTTACCACGACTACTTTATTGTTCCTCAGCCAAACAGCAGCACCCAAGCGATTGTTTTGCCCCCTAGATTCGGGTGTTGTGCTAGAAAGTGATTGTCTGGCAGAAAGTGATTGCCATCCGCGGGAGCGCGCACAGCTTAAAGCTGTAGCGCCCAGATTACTTAAGGTGCGTAAGCTGAACACAGCTTCAATCGTCTGTTTGTTGAAAAATAGCAATGCGACCACATTTTCTTGGTAGTAACGGTAACGGCGTTGTAACAATACCGTTGTAACAATACCGTTGTAACGATAGGAATAGTAATTAGTTAGATTACTCGTTACAGAAAAAAAAAACGCAGTTACTTGTAACGCCGTAATTCCCATCACTGGTAGTGGCAGATCTAACCTGACATGTAAGATGTGGAAAAGCATAGATTGCAAAACCTGTATAATGAATTAAATGTTATTGGCATTTATTTCTTTTGTTTTTCTGTGTGAGTCCTAAATCATTGCCACAATAATGGGGACTAAAACTTGGGCAACAGGATGTGAATAAAAACATCAACATGGTTAGAGCAGATACACCAATTCTTACTGGAATTGAAGTATATTTATGCTCCCTTAGTCACAAGACTTTGCCACAGTGGATAGCTTTGCATTTGATTGTATTTTACACTGGATGCTCTTCCAGAACTCGAGGGATAAAGCCAGAGATCTTTTCAGTTATTAGTGAATGTGAAAACTACTACGCTTCAGGGAAACATAAATGTACTTTTCCATCTCTTATTCCCAGGAAAATAAGTATGGTTCACAGTCCAGAATAGATTCTTATTGAATGTCAAATGAAAATCAGTACACTGAGCTCTTTCAGGGTTGGACTAACTCTCTAAGCAGTGGAAAGTGAACCCACCCCAACTTTCAATCCATACGCAGTTTCAGCACAGACACCTTTTTGATGATTCAAGAGACAAAACGTAAACCAAAGAAATTACTAGATAGTCTGACATCATACAATATTAAGCAATTTTATTGCATAATCAGTGTTACATGTTTCGGTTACGTCTTTCTCATGCACAACTACATTCAACCATGAAAGTCAAATGCATGCCAAGACATGACCTGAAAAGCATTCCCAGGGTGTTCAAGGTTTTCATTTATTTAGTTCGTCATCGGCTTACGTTTCATGGAGGTGGTGTGGAAGGTGTGCGCACAAAATAGTATAATTACTGTAGAACAGCCATTAGTCAAATTAAAGGGATGTGCCACTGTCATGTCACCTGATTTTATGAAGTCCCAATTTTGAAGCCTTGTGCTGAAAAACACAGTTATCTTAGCTTTATGAAACTAGGCTTAATAACCAATCTCTCAGTTGCATATCACTAAAATTCATACTCCTTTTAGACTCTAATTAGAATCATAATTTAGAAAATGAACAATCTGTTGTATTTAATTAGAGATGGAACTAGTGAAAAAAAACCTGGATCAGCATGTTGCCTTATCCAGACTTATTATTTATGCCACACAAATTAGATATCACTATAAAATACACTTGGGATATTCAGAAACGCGCTAGTAATTCAAAGGAAAAAGAATGTAATGCACTGCAGCATCATATTATCTTTAGTGTGCGTTTGTGTGGGTGGCTTTTTGAACAGGAAGGAAATGGTTCATCTAGTTTGTGTAATGTAAACTGGGTGAACTGGGGCTGGGTGTGACAACCGGTTTAAAATAAATCAGGGCTCAACCACCTGCCAGTGTGGTGCTGAGTCCCAGCCAGAGAGCTTCTCATTGTACCTGAACTGCTGTGGAAAGTCTAGAAAGATGACATCGGAGCCCAAACAGTCAAGTAAGTACATTAACTTTTAGACATATATACTTTTAGACATATGATATTAAGTTTATCATCATATCTTTAAATTAAATTGTTTAATTTAAATAATAACAGTTAAATAGTCTTGTCAAAAGCAGGATTGCATTTGAAAAGAGTTTTAGAAAAGTTTGCACCTATTTCAAAGATTTTATAGAGTTAAAATAAAATCGTGTTATACACTTAGCTTGCATGACCTCAGTTCTCCCAGTTTCTAGAAATCTTACTTGCAGGTGCTGGCAAATAGAAATGAATGCCTTACAACAACAGTCTTCAGAAAGTACATGCCAGAGAATGTTGTGTGAAAAACTCACATTTTCACATTAAACAGATTTTTTTGCAGTTTATTCTCTTTACATACATGACAACATGTCTGTGGTCATCATGTGTCAACCTGAAAATTCAAATATATGTTTTGCAAGTTGAAGTTAATCCAAAGTTTCAGATTCAGGCCAGTTTGGCAGAAAATTTAGTTCAGGAAATCTGGAACACCTTCTAAATTTGATCGATGCCCCCATAATCAGTTCGAGTTTCGTACTCAAGAGCCCATTACATCGGCGTAAGAGCAGTTGTTTTTGAATCATATATTAGATTGATGTGGTTATGTTTGTTTTTTTATTCAGAAGGCATCTATAAATAATCATAAATATCAAAATATTAGTGCGCATGATGTTTTGCCTCCCATCCAGGACCACCTCCACTATGTGACACCCTCCATCAGATTGTTTTTGAACTATAGAAACATCTTCAAACCTAAAAAAGTTTAGTTGCCATATTTTCCGGCACTCGAGTGACATTATCTGCACAAACTGGTGCAAATAAAATATACATTATACAAATACAGTGACATGCTTCAAGATTAATAGATTTAAAAAGATCAATATTGAAGACAGGCCAGTTTCAAAAGATAAACACATTGTCTTTGTGGGCTTCAATTGTGCAGTGCAGACAGATGTAAGGCAACTGAGATTCTATTACAGAAGGAACAAAGTAACATTTAGCAGCTCTGGAAACTGTTTGAATTAAAGATCTAAAATTTTAAGATATCAATGAGACTGTGTTAGAAATATAAATATGAACTTATGCAAACTTGTAGGCACTGAAAAAAAATGTATGTGAAAATATTTAGAAAGCGTTCACAGACTGACTTTAATGTCACAGACAGCCAAAACTTTGTATAGATATTAAGGAGAGGTCCCTAAAATGCATTCCCTCTCTTAGGTGTTTCAGTGTGTATTTCAGGCCAACCTTCATGTATGTTTAGTAAAAAAAAATGTGTATAAATTTCTCTACCCAAGGGGAGAACGCTACATGCTGTAGATTTATAAGTTTAATAAATCTAAAGAAAGGGTTAAAACTTGGTTCCTAACATTAAAATTAAAAGTTTGACTGTGAAAAGCACTTCTCATATCAATATAGAAAAAGACAAAGTGTTAAGATAGTCTCTCCAAACCTCACTATTTTGTGCTTAAGTGTTTTTATGAATTGTGTCCCAGTTTTCCATGTTACTTGTCAGTGCAGTGCTTTTATATGGATTAACCTGTTTACCTGAACATACCCGTAGGCCTTAAATGTGAGGTTTGTGTTTTGTTTTGTTTTGTCGAGACACGAGCATTGTGTTCATCACTGATTCTGCCCTGTTGAGGCATGTCCAATCCATGCATATTTTTCCTGACATGTAACTTCAACTTTGTGACGTTTGGATGACTCTCATGACAGTGTTTAAATAGTTTTATCTCCACCCTGCCCTGCCCTGGGTTCCTGTCACCAAATTGCTAGATAGAATTGAGACTTTTGACAAGCTGAGGCAGTTTTTTGAGGTGAATCGAGGTCACAAAAATCTTCATCTATTTTAGCATGGAGAAGGTATCGGTGTAGCAAGCTTAAAGCCTTTTGCATCCTTCAGTTGCAAATCTTTCCAGGAAACCAAGTTAAAATGTATCAGGAGACTACAGATATGGGTCAGATATGGGTCATGTCATTGCATGTCATGCCATTAAAAATAAGTTTATTAAAATAAAGACTTCACTTTGTGACCTGACTTTCAGATATTTTTGTTCACAGTTAACATTTCTATATTTTATTTTACATTTCTTGCAGTTTTTGAAGGAGTGAATCTCAACTGTGAGACAAACAACACAGAACATGGCACCAAAAAAATCTCAAAGGATCAGCTGATTGTGAGGCGAGGCCAGCGGTTCACCGTGAAAGTTGAACTGACACAGCCGTTCAACCCCAATCTTAACCCGCTCACCTTTACAGCAGTAACAGGTTGGTCCACCATTAAATAATGTTTTTGGGGTTTTTTTGTAAAAAATGCAAACATATTGTATGTAAACCCTCCCAAGTTAAATCCTATTTTTTGGACATAATAAAAAATATGTCCAAAGTGTACAGAAGATGCTGTTTGATGGGCACTGAATAAACATTTACTGACCCAAAGCTGTTGAGTAGGGCTGTCACCGTTAATTAACGCCAACACTGCGTTAACTCGGCATATCTCCGTTAACGGGTTAATGCGGATCACCCTTTGTGTTGGGCTGGACTGCGTCAACGCGTTAGCGCAGGTAGCTCGATTAACGTATTAGCGCAGTGTAGGCGAGTAACGGAATACATGTACAACCGTTGCGTATTTAAAATACAAAAACTGTATTCTGTTACAGTTACCATTTAAAAAGGTGGTGTTACTCTGTTGAAATAAATGGATTACACGGCGGTCTTTTCCTGTTTCATATGTTAGGCTATGCCCTCTCTATCCTTGGTAATTCCACGCCAGTGGAAACCCAAACAAAACATGCATTAAAAGGCTCTAATGTCTGTGTCTCAATCTCACGGCCCATGTCACCTCTACTTGCTATCCGCATAATGATGTGACGAAATATTTTTTTAAATTATTGTTCAAAAATTATTTAATATGAAGGCAATAGGCACAGTGTTACAGGCATAGCCCTAAACAATGTAGCTTCATGGGCAGTATTGGCCAGTTGTAAGTAAGCTATTAAGACTCTACTCTACACTGTGCTTGTGTTTTCCTCCGAAACAACAAGTTCCGTTGGAGCAGCCTTTCAACGCCTCTCTGTGTCTCTCGCTAGCAAAGTTGACCCAGACAACAAAGTAAAGCTAGTTTTCGGCTATGAACTCGACATGGAACCTGACGTATTAGCCAGAGGACCTGTTTTATATACACGTAAAACAGTTTTCTATACGAGATCGTTGCAAAAAGCGCAGCCTTACCTAATGTCCACCCTACTGTTACTCATTTTATATTAAGATTTAAAAATCTAGTTGCTATTGGTATGGCGAGTAACCTTCAGTAATAATAATACATCACACAGCAATAGTACATTCATGTAGTTGTAAAAAGCATGATAATATATTAAGTAATCCAAAGTATTTAGAATACGTTACTCTCATTGAGTAATGTAACGGAATACATTTTAAAAGTACCTTTCCCAACACTGGCAGCCCCACACAAAGGGTGATCCGCGTTAACACGTTAACGGAGATATGCTGTGTTAATGTGGATTTGGTGTTAACATCATTTTAACGCGATTAACACTGACAGCCCTAGTTGGGACTCAAAGCAAAAACCTCCAAGCCCATTGAAGGCACCCTTTTTGAACTTTGGAAAGATTGTGATCCAGGAGAAAGTCAGTCTGAAGAATTGATAGCTGCAAACTGTGCATGTTTGGTTTACATAATTTGAATTTATATTTTTTAAATTTAAATATTTAGTTTGCAGTTGTGAAACTTTATAGTAAATAAAAGATGTTTGAATATTGATTTCCATGTATCAACAGGAGTTTGTTCATGTTTGCTTACTTTTGTTTTCTCTGTTTTTTTGTTGCTGTTATTTTTATTATTGACATTAACATTTTTGAAAGATCTGTATGGATACATATGAAGAATTTTGTGAAAATCAATACAAAATATAAATTGAAATCATAAATAACGGCTACATGTGGTTAAGTGTAGTTTAAAAAGAGGACCCAAACACAGGAACCAGAATCAGGTATTCCCAACAAAAAGCAGGTTTTACTAATGAGCTGATGGAATTAAAAAAAAAACCAAATTGGGCGGAGGAATAATATCAGGTGAAACCAATGAGGGTGTGGCAAAAATTGAAAGGGTGAGGAAAAAGCCAGACATGACACATAAGTGAAAGGCTCTTTTTATAAATAAACTAAGCTTTACTTAAAGGTGTTTTGCCAGTTAGCACAGTTGGATATGACCACTGTTTGTCTTTTAAACTATCTTTCAGCCTTCTGTTGCAATCAAATTCAAAATGAGCATTGGGTACTGTGAAAAAGTCTTGAGCCACTCCTGGGAAATACAGCAATGAAATGAAAATGTTTACAATTCTGAGTTTGAAAATCAGTATTCGGTATGGCCATCTCTGTTCCTCGATGCAGCCTGAACTCTCTTAGGCAAGCCTTCTTGTAGTTTTAAGTAGCTTTCAGTGATTGTTTTTTAAACGTTGGCTGTCATTTATTCTATTCTCCATCAAAATGGGAAAGACAGTCTATTAATTTTGTTCTATTATGTGTTTTGAAGATATGCTTTTTCTGCATTGACAGTGTGTTTGGGAACATTTTCATGCAGTAAAATTTAGTCATTTGCCCTGTGTTGACTACTGGAAATGATGCAGGTGTAACTCATACTGGTTAATGATGTCTGTCTTTTATGTACACTCTGTAGTTACAGAGTATTGTATTGTTGGTATTGTATTGTCACATCTATGATCTCTGTGAATCCTCTCTACAGGAGAAAATCCATCTGAGGACCTGGGAACAAAGTCATGCTTTGGTATGCCAGACAAAATCCAGCGTTCGCCATCAGCAAAGGCAGTGTGGAAAGTGGAGCTAGAGAAGGGATCCAACCCACCAACAGGCTCCTTGAATTTGACCATTACCTCCCCAGCTGACACTCCAATCGGAAAGTACAACTTAACCGCCAGACATAGGGATGAGGAAACGTTGTTGGCAGAACTGGTTGTGCTCTTCAATCCCTGGTGTCCTGGTAAGTTATCTTTCTATCTGCCCACTTGTTTTCCGGGCTCTCCAGCACTGTTCATCTGTTGCTGTTGTAAACCACTATTATCCATCTATTAATCCGTCTGTCTCATGTGGTTATCCCTATTCCCGCCTCTGTAGATGATTCAGTGTTTATGCGGGATGAGACAGAGAGACAGGAGTTTGTGATGAATGAACGTGGTATAATCTACAAAGGAAGTGGGAACTACATCACATCTATTAACTGGGACTTTGGGCAGGTACAAACACACACACACACACACACACACACACACACACACACACACACAGAGACTGTGTAGGCTTAGTGGATTTGTGATTCTAGGTTTGATAAATTGACACCGAAAAGTACCACATTAATCATGTTTTTACCAATCAGTCTTTTATTCTAAGAGTTCTATTGTTCAGTATGGTAGAGGCGCAAAAAAGATGGTCACCATTGTTAATGGCTTGTAGGTGTAACTCCTTAATCGGAGAGACATATATTTATATGGTGTGAGACTACTGTAGATCATTATTAACATGCTATTATGGTAAGTATAGAGTAGTGGCATTTTTAGATATTAGCTGCTTCAAGTTAATATTTTACTTTAGAATTAATTAGTTAATGTAAATGCTTCGATTATTTTTGACTCTGCCATTAAGTATGAATAACCTACAGCACTGTAGTTTAAGATAAGCTGCTCTCTTCCTGCCCAGTTTGAAGAGGACATGATGAAGATTTGTCTGAAGATGTTGGATGTCAACCCCAAACACCTGGCAAATGCAGCCAATGATGTTTCTGCTCGCTGTAACCCCATCTACATCAGCCGTGTGGTCAGCGCCATGGTAGGATATTTATGTATATACATGTGTTTTGGACAGATGTACTGTATTTGCACTGCAAGTTTCACCAAGAAGGTAATTTAAAGCATTTTACATAACGTTTAAAAGGCATCATAAACAAAATAATGCATTAATTATAAAGCATTACTATAAAGCATTAATTAACAAAACCTTTTGTTAATTAATGCTTTATAGTAATTTTGAGGGGAGCCAAAGCTCACTCACTCACTCACCTTTGTTTTCCTGTTTTGCTCCAGATCAACAATAATGATGACTGTGGTGTCCTGGAGGGACGGTGGTCAGCTCCATTCTGGGGTGGAACTATACCCTCTCACTGGTCTGGCAGCTATCCCATCCTCAAGCGTTGGTATAACATCGGCTGCCACCCAGTCAAATATGGACAGTGCTGGGTATTTGCAGGAGTGATGTGTTCAGGTACGGACTAACTCTGCAAGTCCTCACTTACATACAGTATCTATTTAGGTGGGTAATATGAATACATACCTAAATATCTGTTATATATACAGTATGTGTTTAGGCAAGTGAAATGAGAAATAAGAAATAAGCTGCCTTATATGGCAGGTGCTTTAGTTTACATACATTATCAACTTTGCTGGGTATACCTGATGTTTATTCATCCAAATATTTAATCAGCCAATCACAGGGCAACAACTCAAAAACTTAATGGCCTATAGACATGGCGAAGGTGCTCTGCGATAGACTGGCAACCTTCACAGGGTGTACCCTGCCTCTCACTCTATGGCAGGTGGGGTATGCTCCATCCCCCCTGCGACCCTGAATCAGATAAGCAAAGGAGAAAGGATGGCTGGATGGACATGGTAAGGAAGACCTGCTAAAGTTCAAACTGCATCAGAATTGGAGAGAAAGGTTGTATCACCTGGATGACTGAGCACCTTCACATTTAAGTGACTTTAAATGTTACGTGGTTGATCCTACCAGTCGGCTGGTCTGAGTATTTCAAAAACTGCTGATCTACTGGAATGTTTTTTCACACACAAACATTTCTAAGGTTTAAAGTCCTTAAAAGAGAAACTCAATAAGCAGCAGTTCTCTGGGTGGAAATGCCTTGTTGATGATAGCCGTCAGAGGATAAGGGCTTCAAGCTAATAACAGGGAAAAAAATAACTCAAATAATCACTCACTACAACAAAACTATGCAGAGACCTGAAGTGTAGAAACTATAAGTATAACATAAGCAGAAAACCATAAAGAGAACCAGACCCATGAGCAACAATAAATCAAAGAATATTAATTAAACCTGAAACACAAGCACCATGACATCTATCCTCTTTTGTATCAACGGTTCTGGCTGGTACTTGTGGACAATGGTGTCTGGGATATTTTCTTTGCAGACTTTGTCCAATTTACCAACTGAGTATCATTTAAATGCCACAGCCTACCTGAGGGTTGTCACTGACCATGTCCCTTGCTATATGACCACAGTGGATTAGAACAGTTCTGGATTTCTGAGGAATGTCTCTGTCATTTTGTTGAATATATGTATGAAGAATAAAGGCAATTGTAGAGGCAAAAGGGTCCTAGCAAGGTATATGTACCAAAGTCTCAAGTTTGTTTACAATTGCCAATTTTCTAGATTTTCTAGTGCTAATATAGGATTACACTAAAAGTCTGGTAAGCCATAGCTTTACTGGTTTACTGATTTGTCTTTTCCTTACTTATAACTTTCCATCACTAGGCCAGTGCAACAACATTTAACAATAAGATGCTAAACTAATGTACAATTTGACAAATATCACATTTTTAATAAAATCAGTTTTTTTAATGTTTGTATTTCCAGTAATGCGTCTGCTGGGCATCCCATGCCGTGTGGTCACCAACTACCAGTCAGCTCATGACAGCAATAAGAATCTGATCATTGATGTTTACCACGCTGACTATGGAGTGAGAGAGAAAGAGACCAAGGACAGTGTCTGGTAAGATGACACAAGCTCATATGGCTTATTTTGAGAAAGCAAACAGAGAGGTACAGATCAGAACTAAAATCTGTGGTAAAGAGTTGAACAGTTCCTTTGTACACACACACACACACACACACACACACACACACACACACACACAGACACACACACACACACACACACACACAGAGGAAGAGAGAGAGAGTTTCCCTGAGCATTGTACAGTCTTAGTTTCTCACAGAACTAAATAAGTTTAATTTAAAAAACAGAGAGGCATTATATACAACAAACCTGAAGTCTTTTTGGTCTCTTCCAAGAGTTCCAAAGTAAAGTGAAATATAACAAAATAAAAACAAAAAGGTTTTTTACATTTCCTATAATTTATCCAATTATTTTTCAGTGGTTTTGGAAAAACAAACACCAGAAACGCTATAGAGCTACAGGGTTGACTTTCAAAAGGTTTTGCTGTTTTTTCTGTTTTATTAGTACTCAACCACCATCTTGTTCTTGATATGTCAGACTGCATAAAAGAGGACAAATGAAATTGTGTCCAAAAGTCTTAAAGGCTTTTAATCTTCACTGTGGTTTTACAAAGTATGTCTTGTATGCTTTGGGAGTGGTGACTTTGTCTGAAAGCTTTTAATCTGCCAATAGAAAGAATGTCCTTAGTGTGATTTATGGTGCTATTTCTCAAGCTTAGGGTAGGGTAGGTTTACCTTACAATATAAAGTTCCTTGATTCAACTGTTGTTGTGATTTGGTGCTATATAAATAAAATTCAATTGAATTGTGAATCACCCAGCCTTCTTTGCCATGTTATCGAGTTTTTAAAGCCACTGTTGTGTTTCCACTGACTCCAACATCAGAATTTTGTGTCATGCATATGTTTCAGGAACTATCATGTCTGGTTAGAGTGCTGGATGAGGCGAACTGACCTGGGAAAAGATGGTAAATATGACGGCTGGCAAGTTCTGGATCCAACGCCACAGGAGAAGAGCGATGGTACGAACTCTTGTCTCCTCAGATTTTCTTCCTTTGTCTAATGACTTTTCTTTTCCTACTTTAACTATTCATTTTTTGTCAGTAAATATACCAACAATTTTTAAGTATTGTTTTTGAATGTGATATTCGATTGTGTGATTTCTTTTCATCTAGTGCTGTTAGTGATGGCAGCTCCATGGTTAGAAAGTTTCATATATAGTGCCATGAAGTTAGAATAAAAACTACTCTGTATTAGTAAAGCATGTTTCTTTATTTAATGTTCATCTAATGGCTTTTCTTGCTTGTCCTTTTGCAGGTGTATTCTGCTGCGGTCCAGCCTCAGTCAAAGCCGTCTTGAATGGAGAAACAAATCTAAAATATGATGCCCCATTTGTTTATGCTATGGTCAATGCTGACTGCATTGACTGGCTGGTTAGTGAACAGAGCTGTACTATATAAATCCACAAATAACATAGTTAGCAGCACCAAAAGAGGAGCAGTCTTTAGTATGATAGCAATATTTCTTATTTCAAATTTTGGTTTCTATCGTGTTTCTTTCTTTGTGTCCTGGCAGTGTAAAGCTGATGGCACAATGGTGAATATTTTCTCTGACACCAAGAAAATCGGACAGAATATCTCCACCAAGGCTGTTGGCTCCAACACAAGGCTGGACATCACAGACAGCTACAAGTACAAGGAAGGTGGGTTCACCTAAAAGACTTAAATGGAGAATTTTGTTCTTTACCATCCTGATATTATGAAAGTATATCTCACAAGGGACATGACACTGGACAATCACATGGTAATGATTTGTCAGTCAGAAGTTACCACTGTTATACCACCCCTATTTATAATATAATATTTATAATATTATATATATATATATATAAACCTTGTTTTAACTTTCACTAGCGAGTTGCAAAAAGATTACAAATAAAAATTGGTTTGATGACTGTTTTCTCTGTTTTCTGATACTAATAGGAAGGTTAAAAAAAACCTTTTGGTCAAGACACAGTAGAAATTCTTTAACAAAATTAATTTTCACTCTCACTCTAAAACTTTTTACTCTTACAGGGGCTAATGAGGAGAGAACTGTATTTAGATATGCCCTCACCAGAGATTACTCCAGAGATGAAGAGGAAAAGAACAATAGAGGGACAAATAATCCAATCCAGAATGGAGGAACAACAAATGAAACTGGGAATGGAGGGACAACAAATGAAACTGGGAATGGAGGGACAACAAATGAAACTGGGAATGGAGG